AATCAAGTGCAAACATTAATTAGTACTACCAAAAAAAAAAAAAAACACTAATTATTTTACCATACCGGTTACATTTCATTCGTTACTCATTGATGTCACTTATTGACAAAATTTGATTTGATATAAATCACGTATTTTCTGTATGCTACAAACAAATGTAAAATATATTATTTTATTGCATACATTTTTACAATGTCATCAATAGAATTCTTGATTGATATTTGATCATAGCTGCAAAAAAAAACTGTTGGGGTTAATTTTTAAACATAAATTTTCTTTATCAAATGAGTAGTATAAGGCGGAACAGATCTAATTAACAAGTCTTATAACTTTTGATACAATTCAAATTTAGCTGCATTTTTTTTTCTTTAAACAATTTTTGCATTCTTTAAATACGTTATCAGAATATTATCTATTATTTATTTTTATTAAACTAACTTTAATATAAGTACGTATTGAGTTATGAGAATTGCACTATAAAGAGTGAATATGTAATATGGGCGCTACAATAAATAATGAAACATATACTTTTAATGTAGTCTAAGAATGCAAAAGTTGTTTAAAAAAAATTATAACAAATATTAAATTGTATAATTGTAATAGTTATAAGAGTTGAGAATTAGATCTGTTCCATTTTGTAGAATAGGTAATTTTTTTCTTACATTAAATGAAATAAATCAAATAACACGACCCACGTGAACTCTAAATAATTTAGGATCGCACATAGAAAAAAATCGAATATCGTTCAGTAATTCACTTATTCTTTTTTTTTTCCTCGATTTTATCACAACTACTAGGGGACGGCCATCCTTATCCTAAATTTCCACTTGACGCGATATCTCACATTATTTACGCACACATCCACTGTCCTTATATCGTATTCAATAACATCCCTTCATCTCTTCTTGGTCTTTCTCTACTTCTTCTTCCCTCAACATTCATTTCCATAACTGCTCTTCAACTTCCAATTCCTCTCTCCTCATAACATGGCTTAATCATCAGAGTCTATTTTCTCTTTTCTTATCTACCATTGATTCTATAACTATACTCCCTTTTATATGTTTATTCCTGATCCTATCTTCTCTAGTCACTCTACTCATCCATCTAAGCTACCTCATTTCTAATACACTCATTCTATTCTATATTTTCTTGAAATACTCTGAACCATACATCATAACTGGTTTCACTATGGCCTCATAGAACTTACCTAACTTCAGCTTCATTGTAATTCTCTTATCGCATAACACACCAATCGCTTCTCTCCACTTTGTCCACCCGTATTTAATCCTTTGTCTTACGTACTCGTCAATACCACAGTTCTTTTCCATAATTGATCCTAAATGCTTAAAAGTTTCCACCTCTCCTATCATGTCCTCGTTGTTCGTCACTGATCTTCTGAAGAGTCAAAATTACCAAAACTGTAACACTTGTTGTCAATATAAAAAATAACGACTATGTATACATTTTAATTGATACTAGTTAGTAAACAATAATAAGAATAGAAATAAATACATTTTTATTACGTCATAGAACTAAAAATAAACTTTGTCTATAATTAATAATCAATACCTTTAAAACCTAGTGTTTTCATAAAATCAATATTCTAACATTGACCCATATTAACTATTTAAATTGTTATTACTTTGTAAACGTTAACAATAGAATTAAATATATTTTTATGACGTCATAGAACTAAAAATAAACTTTGTCTATAATTAATAATCAATACCTTTAAAAACTAGTGTTTCCGTAAAATCATGTTTCAATCAATTTACAAATAGGCTACAAACATTTAAAAAATAAAATTACTATTTTGAAAATATAATATAACTGAGCTGACAACCAAATGTTGAATATTATTTATTATTTTACGTTTACATTTTCTACACGTATACACACTTTCATTATTACTACTATTTTATTCTTACATTATTTGACTACATACGTTATTTCCTTGGGGAAAATATAGAAAATGTTTATGTAAAACCATAATATAGCTAAGCTATTAAAAATGAGATAACTTCAAAATAGTATCTAAAGCTCTGGCTACAAACTTAAGTGTTAATCATTAATGATTATGATATACTGGTTTAGCGACGCCTACGTCTACTACCAAAGGGACAGTTAACTTGGATATGTTTTGTTTTATGTAAGATCTTTATGCACAAACGGGTACTTACTTTTATTATAAAAATACTATGAGAATCTCACATGCTGCATAGTCAAACTAAATGTTTTTGCTTGAAATTTCATTTATTTATTAATGAAAATCTAAATTGNTAATTTTTTTGCTTGAAATTTCATTTATTTATTAATGAAAATCTAAATTGTTTAGTTATAATCTCTTGAATTAATAACAATCGTATAGCAGTTTTAGACATAACTGAGCGCCCCACAGCGCTTTAGGCCTAATTTTAAAAATGTTAGTGTGTCTCTATACGAAACAATTCACCCGCTTTTCTAACCTCCATATCTCTATTTCTTTTAAAATAGACTTATAAAATGTTCAAATTAACTCAAGTCTAAACTCTAGTAACTCAAAATATTCTAAAAAGTCAGTCCTTAAAATGGGAAATTTCAAAATGGAAAAACTTCAAAGTTATTATTGTTGTTACTGACTAATTGATATATGATAAAAATTAACAGATATTTACTATAACGGTAGAAACGTGAAATTTAGTACAAAGTTTAGGTCTTATGATGTAAATAAAAAGTAAAATCTAAAAATTTTTATTTTTGCAAAAAAATATACGATCTTACAAGCAGAATTTGATGTAAGCAGAGTGATCAGTTGCTCGTTTTGATTTTTTAGTAGCTCATGAAAATTATGTATTTTGTTAGCTTAAACCATAAAAAATTTCAAACTGCGCCTTATTAAGAAAGCCTATAAAATTATTGATATTATGGCAAAGTTTGCTCTGTTTATAGTTTATAAATTTCAATGCTACATTCATGAGTGACATTCTCCTTTATTCATAAGTCTAAAAACTAGGCTAGTTTTTAGCTATGCACTTAGGTATTAGTAGTACTAATACCTAAGTATTATAGTACTTAGGTACTTACGTATTTAGGAATTACATGAGGTATGGGAAGAAGAGAACACCTTTCTAGAGTTACCAGAGAAATAAAAGAAAAGGTTTAATTCTCACGGGATTCATTAAAAATTGTGGCAAAATCTGTTTTATGCTTCATTCAAAAGCTGACCAAGTATTAAGAAATGCCAATAAAGGAGCAATGTTGCTCATAAAATTATATTTGAAATTTATGATCTAAACAATGAGGAAATTTGACCACAATGTAGACATTAATTTGATAAGCGTATTTTTTGGGGAGAGAGGTGGTTGGAACTTGGATTTATTTCTAAGAAAGATTTTGTTTAGAATAATTTTCACACCAAAGAAGACAAATTAAACTCTAGCCGCTTAATAAAATTAACTCTATATTGGCGTCTTCTACATCTATGGATGAGAGATATTTACATAATTTTTTTCTAGCTACATAAAAAAAAATAAAATAAACAAACCGAAAATGATTGTTTGAAAAGTTCTATATAGTTTATTGATTCCTAATTATCAAATAATTATTTTAACGGATTTTCTATAGATAAATCCCTAGAGCTGTGTACATTATGGAAGGCAATGCATTGGTGCCACCCATGTTTTATGGAACCAGTTTATATTGTTATTTGTCCCTAAAGATGCATTTTTTTGTACTCATTACTTTATTTTTTTAGAAGTTCTGATTAAGTCCCTGCTAGAAAAAAAACATTTCACATATTCAGTGCCAAATTTACCGGGGTTACATGGAGCGCTTTGCACAGGAGTCTCATATTTTTAGGGTATTCAAAAAAAAATTTATCAGCCTTACAATATTAGCGACATTTTAGTTTTCAAACGAAGTTAGGAAAAATTAATTTCACTATGATATATTTATTTATGTATGTCGCTTCGTGTGCTTAGATGTAAATTAATACATCGGTCAATAAGTAAAAACGTTTATAAAATTTTCTCTTCGAAAATTGAAAAAAAAAA